TATAATCTTTCTATAATTCAATATATTCGAACAATTCAGCGACTTTAAAACGCATTTATTCAATTTCAATATTATTTGAGCAAATTTATATTTCTTGTTTGACAAATAATAATGAAAATAAAGACATCCATAGTTCCATACTCATAAATCACATAATGACATGATATTAAGGAATAGCTTGTTATAATGTTAACAAGCGTACGTAGTAGTATACTTCGTATTTCTTAAGCAAAAAAGAACTATGGAAAGATTAGAGCAAGGGAAAAAATGAAACGTGTGTAGCTTGTTTTGGAGTGACTGTATTGAAAGCTTTAAAATATGTTAACTAACGGAATGCTAACGGAAAAGCAGGAGTAATTAGACATTAAAGATGCTATACATACTAAGGTACAATCATTTTTGGTCAAAGTAAAAGTGTACATTAGCTTATAATTACACCAACACATTTTTCATACCTAAAGTACCCTTACCTTCATTGGGGCTTATAAGATTTTAGATGTTTGAGTCGATTCAATAATTTTGATCTCTTTTTTGTTCAAATTCCGAGCTCGCCTTATGTTTGTCTATTTAAAATACTACTCCGTATAATATTATTTTCTCATTATTCCTAGGGGATAGCATTTTTGACCGAAAAAATGAAAACCGAACCGAAAAAAATGAACTGGGCAATAAAACACTGAACCAAAACCAAACCGACTTGAATGGGACCCGCAAGTTGGGACCCGTGTACAAATCGGTTCGAACACGGTTCTTTAAGATTCAAAATCGGTTCAAACCGAATCGAACCGACTTTTCCTTAAATGAAAATTATTTTATTATTTTATTTTATTTGTAGCCATTAATGTAATAAGTATATGTTACGTCGATAATATAGCGACACTCTAAAGCAGCTCAGTGGTAGCACACCTTGTCTCATCTGCTTCCCACCCGAGTTCGACTCCCCATAGTCCCCACTCCGGGAGATTTACCAAAAGACGGGAAACATGAGATTGGGTTGCCAAAATACGGGGTTTTTTCTAGGGTTTACCAAAAAGCGGTAGTCGGAATCGGGTGTTCCGACTAGGTTTTAGGGTTTAAAACAAAACTCCTCCCCTGGTCGGATTACACAATTCCGACTAGGTTTTTGTATTTTTTTTTTATTATTTTTTAATTCCTTCGCATTACACAAAAAAAATATTGGAAACTTTAAAAAAAAAATTGAACACCCCCTAGTCGGATTAGGGAGTTCCGACTAGGTTTAATTTAATTTTTTTCAAAATTTGTTTTTGAATTTGAGTTAAAGTTTCAAAGAAAGCAAAAAGAAATTCCCTCCCCCCTAGTCGGATTACCCAATTCCGACTAGGGAATTTTTTTTTTTTTCGAATTTTGTTTTTGATTTCGAATTAGTTAGGGTTTCGAAAAAAATCCTAAAATTCCCTCCCTGGTCGGATCACCCAATTCCGACTAGGGAAAAAATATTTTTTTTTTCGAATTTTGTTTTTGATTTTGACTGGAAGAGGAGATCCGGACGGTCCGATTGTGATCCGCGTAGGTGTGAAGAACGGTTAGGATTAGGATTCAAATGAAATGTGTTTGTTTAGTACATCGGCGTAGGTCGAACGAACGGATAGGATTAGGATTGAAAGAAATGTGTTTCTTTAGTCGGGTGAGTTAGGTAGAAATAAAGTGTATTGAATAAAGTGATCAAATTTGATCTTATTTTTGACAACTTAAATTTTATCTGATAAAATTTTTCTGGTTATATTTATCTGAATACATTTTATCTTATTGAAATTATCTTATTAAATTTTATCTGATTAATTTTATCTGTTTAATTTTATCTGATTAATTTTATCTGTTTAATTTTATCTGATTAAATTTATGTGAACAAAAAATTCATATACAATGAAAAAGACCCAAAAACGAGAACAAATATTTCATTACTAATTACATGGGAAAAATAAAACCAACAAGGTATACATTAAAATATCACTCATTTCCTCTCCCTGTGGCACGGAAATCCATTTCATTGGGAAATTGAGTTCGCTGTGGCCTACCGACTCCAGCCGATCTGCTGTTTGTGGGCGGGAGAAGTGTATGCGGTGTTTCTGCCATGACATTGACGTAATTATTAATAGGCATAATATCAGAAGCGTATGTCCGGATGTACGCATTTATCGAATACACATCAGGGATGAGGCCGTCAACGGTTATTTTTAGAAACCGACAAACCGCATACGCGTGAACACATGGCAGCCCATTCTGCTTTCAATACCCGCACCCACATTCCTGCCTTGACAGATCGATTGTCACTGGATCATGCGAACTAATAGCTATAGAGTAAATTCCCGTTGTTCGATTGTGCGGGACAATAATTGTGTGATACCTACGTTGTGACCGCTCAAGAACAACCTTCCATATGTTCTGTGGATACAAGAATCCAGCTTGGTGCCACATTAGTCCCGCATGTCGTCGATTGGCAAATAGCTGGACGACTTTATCGAACGTGGCCTTTACTAGTGCTGTGATAGGCAATGTGCGACATCCCTTTAAGACATTGTTAAAACTTTCAGAAAGGTTTGTCGTCAAAATGCCATATCTTTTGCCATCGTCATAGCTCAGGGCCCACATCTCAACAGGAATCTCATTCAAATATAAAAAGGCACTCTCATTTATGCCTCAAATAAAGATATTAAATTAAACAGTTATTAATTAGCCTAATTATGCATAATATTAGTATTATTTAATATATTATACTACAGATAATATATACTTGTATGATAGGATAAGTATATAATTCACTAACTAATACATATATTTCTAATATCAGTGATATATACTCATTAACTCATTATGTCAATTTAACTAATATTTACGAATTACTAAATTAACTACTTCTACACTCTTAAAATGATAAATAATAAAATCAAATCATTGTAAATTCTACTTAACTTGAACAATACATACCGGGAGATTCTTAGTTCTGAAACATTTGGCGGTTGTTCCTCCGACCATATGTTGATGATGGGTCTTCCTCTCCGGGAGTTTCGTGGAACGCCAAATTTTGTGGCGGGGGTCGCTGAAGCTTCCACGTAAATGTGCAGCTCCTCATACTCATTTGTAGCAATCCGGAAAAAATGACGCCATGTCCGCTCATCGTGAATGGGCCATAATCTAGAAGCAACATATACTGAATTTTTATACTTTGGCAATTTTCCGTGAATTAATTTAATTTCGGAAAATCCGTCGCCTCTAACATGATTTAGAACTTTCTCATGTATAGTGGTATAATCATCTCCTTCACTAACCCATAGTACCGCCCTAGGAGGTATGGAGTACTCTATTTCATCATCTTTTTGAGCTGTAGAGCCATTCCAATGAACCATAACAACAATATTACCCTCACTAGACATTTTTTATATATGGTATATAGTATAAATATAATATGAGAGGAGAATGCTAAACAAAAATAATAAATATATGAAAGTAATTAAAGTAACAAGTGTTTTGGGTGAATATGGTATGTCGGTACCCTTAAGAAACAAAGAATTGGGTGAATATGGTATGTCGGTAGCCTTAAGAAACAAAGAAGTGTTTTTGGAGTGCGTTTGTAAATTTTGAGAACAAATGAATTGATTTTATAGCGGTATTAGTGTAGGAGTTCGGTGAAATACTTGAACAGGAATTAAACACGTCACCAAAACATTAAGAAAAAAAATCAAAAATATCACACTACCTAGTCTGATTCCCCAATTCCGACTAGGTGTTGGGTTGCTTCTAAATGAAAATAATTTGGTTTGGTTTTTTCGGATAATTACACATGCTAAACGAAAATAATAATAATACCCTAGTCGGAATTGGCAAATCCGACTAGGTGTTCAATTTGGTTTTCTCGGTCATTAAACATTCTAAATTAAAATAATAATAATAATAATACCCTAGTCGGAATTGGTGAATCCGACTAGGTGTTTAATTGTTTTTTTATTATTAAATATTCACCCTAGTCTAAATTAAAATAATAATAATAATACCCTAGTCGGAATTGGTGAATCCGACTAGGTGTTTAATTGTTTTTTTTTATTAAATATTCACCCTAGTCGGAATTCGGGAATCCGACTAGGTGTTTATTTTGGTTTTTTCCGAATTATTAAACACTTCCCCAATTCGAAACAAAAAATATTACCCTAGTCGGATTCCCCAATTCCGACTAGGTGTAATGCCTTTATCTGAAAACTCTAATCTCTAGTCGGATTCCCCAGTTCCGACTAACGTGTTTTGGTAACCTAAAACACTTTCCCGTTTTTTGGCATGTCAGACGGGAAACTCCCGTGTTTTGGTAATTTCCTCCCCCACTCCTACGACATCCCACACCGGTTTGGATTTTTTTATTTTCGATTTGGGAACCGAACCAAATCCAACCCTAATCATTCCTTTGATGATTTAGACCGATAACTTTCGGTTATACTCGCTATTGGTCCTTTAGGTGTTCAAGAGACTCTTAGTTAGGTTAAAGAATGATGTTGGGATTGTATTGAGGTGGAATGTGTTGCACTTCAAAGTATTTCTTCCATTCACAACACTAATGGGTTGTCTCAGTTCGGGTTGCTAATTGATGACATTAAAGAAGTGGCTGCTAGTTTTTCTAGCAGTTCTTTGTAGCATTTTAAGCGGTCTGCCAACCTGTAGCTCATGAGCTAGCTCGGGCAGCCACCTCTATGTCTGAATGCGTTTGTTGGCTTGCTATTCCTCTTAATGTCACAGTTGATGTTTTGAACCATGATTTCATTGATAATATGTAAGATTATTTTCTCCAAAAAGTACATCCTCAAAACAGAGATGTAAGGATCCCAATTTCTACTTTTTATCAGTAATTTCATAGCACAATAATACTTTCTCTCACAATAACTCGTTTGATAGATTAAAAGAACATCAAATTCATTAATTTATCCCTCTCTCTATATGTGTGTCTTTATCTTTGGAAAAATATTAGCAAGTTTCTTGAATGGTGAACTTGAATGCAGGTATGTAGTTTTGCGTGGAAGCAGCGGCTTTTACTCTTATGCTATTCTTGAACGTTTAGATGGTTGGCCAGATATAGATGTCTACCAAGGCCGTATAGTATTCAAACTTGATCAAGAGTTGTAAGTATTTTAATACCTACATAGCAAGTTGATACATATAAATAGATATTAACTCCGTACTTACTCAAACTTTCTAGTTTGAATAGAACACATTTTAAGGAAACAAACTTTATTCTTTGACTTCTTGAATAACTTGAGCTCTGCATTACCTTAATTAGAAAGATGCACCAACATGGAACAAAATGTGCACTGCTTCAAGGGATTCACTTTTCTCACATGAAGAGTCATTCTCACCGGAACCAAACCACATGTGCACACACATACAAATATATGTATTTCCACAAAAAGAAAACCTATAGAAATGGTATAAAAAGAGATGAGGAGCTCTTAGCTTGAAGGAATTATGAACTCCAATGAAAGTTGAGAGCTATTAAAACAAAGACAAAACCAAATGAAAAAGAATGCATATGATAACGAAAACGCTAAACAATGTTAGGAATTAAACTCACGCACACGAAGAACAATTAAAGAACACACGAAATTTGATAACCCAGTTCACCACGAATGACTACGTCTAAGGGCGCTACCAAGCCAGGAATATTATTGCTATTTTCGGATCCACACATGATTACAAGGGAGAGAGCTTGTATATATAGAGAAGTAAAACCTAACCCCAAGGCAACTAGGATGCATTTCCAAAAATAAATTAAGAAACGTGTTTCCAAAAATAAATTAAGAAAGGCTTGTTTATACAGTCTCTAACACCTTACAATCTCCCACTTTGAGACAGTCTTCTTCAAATCCTCCCTTGTTAGTTAGCATGGTAGCGTCGCCCTTCAACTTCAAGTACCAAGGACAATTGAAGCTATGCAAAGCTTCAATTTCTCCAAGGTTACCACCTTAGTAAACATGTCTACTGGATTCTCACTCCCATGGATCTTCACAAGCCGCAATGCCTTTATCTCCAGAAGATAACGGATGTAGTGATACTTCAACCGAATGTGTTTGGTTCTCTTGTGAAAAGCTGAGTTGTTGGCCAAGAAGATAGCACTTTGACTATCACTGTAAAGAATGCTATTCTTGGACTCCTTCCCAAGTTCCCCAAGTAAATTCTGAAGCCACACCATCTCCTTACTTGCCTCCGTAATGGCCACATATTCAGCTTCAGTGGTAGATAATGCAACAATCTTATGCAGCTGCGAAAGCCAGGAAACTGCCGTTCCACCAAATGTAAAAACATACCCGGTGGTTCTCCTCGATACATCCGAGTCATCCGATGCCAGGTCTGCATCAACGTGTCCCAACAGCTCTACATTCTTCCCATCAAAACACAAAGAATTAGAAGTAGTACCTTTCAAATACCTCATGATTCACTTCACAGCTTCCCAGTGTTCTTTCTCGGGGTCTCCCATGAATTTGCTCACTACTCCCACCGTATGTGGAATGTCTGGCCTTGTGCACACCATCGCATACATTATGCTGCCTATTGTCGATGCGTATGGGACATTATGCATTTGATCACGCTCCTCCTTGTTCTTCGGCGAATCTTCCTTGCTAAGCTTGAAGTGACTACCCAGTGGTACACTTGCTGTCTTTGCATCTTGCATTATGAATATTTTCAGGACCTTCTGAACGTATTCTGCCTGTGAAAGATACAATTTACCCACTGCCTCGTCGCTCTCGATTCGCATGCCCAAAATCTGCTTTGCCTCTCCAAGATCCTTCATGGAAAAACGTTCTAACAACTGTTTCTTTAGCTTCTCAATCTCCTTTGAACTAGCTCCTGCAATAAACATATCATCAACATATAATAGCAAGATAAGATAACAGTTCTCGGTCTTTTTGTAGTAGCAGCAATTGTCAGTGTGGCATCTCAAGAAATTTATGTCCCTTATGAAACCATCAAATTTCTTGTACCACTGCTTCGGTGCTTGCTTCAACCCGTATAAGCTCTTCACTAGCTTACATACGAGATTCTCACTGCCTTCCGCCACATATCCCTCCGATTGCACCATGTAAATCTCATCATTCAGATCATCATGAAGGAATGCAGTCTTCACATCCATCTGATGTAACAACTAATTCTCTACAGCAACTAACCCCAACACTAACTGAATAGTAGTAAGTTTCACAACTGGAGAGAATATGTCGGTGTAATCAATACCATAATGCTGCTCAAACCCCTTCACAACCAGCCTAGCTTTGTAGCGTTTGCTACCATCTGCCTCCTTCTTGATGCGGTAGACCCACTTTGCAGTGCAAAGCCTTCTTTCCTTTTGTTAGCTCAACTAACTTCCAAGTATCATTGGATGTGAGAGATGAAATCTCACCATCCATTGCAAGTTTCCACTTGCCCTTGTCGTCAACCCGAACCGCCTCTGTATAGGACTCCGGTTCACCACCATCAATAAGCAACAAATACAAATTAGAAGGTGAATACCTATTTGGTGCTCTCAGATTTCTTGCAGGCTGCTGCCTTGATGGGGTTGATGGATCCTCATCACTGCTCAACTCTTCATTCTGATCCTGCTTGCTCCCACCCGAATTAGAGATATCCAACTCTATGATCTTCAGTCTATCTTGCTCAGAATCAGATGCACTCAATCTGTCCTTGTACATAATCTGTTCGTTGAGCACTACATCTTGGCTACGAATAATCTTCCTATTATGATCATCCCAGAATCTGTATCCATAGTCATCACCACCATATCCAACGAACATACACTTAACAGATTTTGCGTCTAACTTGCTTCGATCAACGGAATTGATATGAACATAAGCAACACAACCGAATATGCGGAGATAGGACAGATTTACCTCTTTACCCGTCCACCTTTCTTCAGGAATGCCATTCTCCAACGAGATCGTTGGACTTCTGTTGATGAGAAAAGCCACGGTGTTCACTGCATCCGCCCAAAATATTTTCGGTAATCCACTCTTCAACCTCATGCATCTTGCCCGCTCATTTAGTGTTCTGTTCATGCGTTCAGCTAAGCCATTATGCTGCGGAGTCCCCTTTGTTGTCTTCTCCATACGAACCCCATTCTCAGCACAAAAATTCTTGAACTCATGCAGTTCATACTCACCTCCATTGACACTTCAACTTCAGACCTGTCTTTGTCTCAACACAAGCTTTCCACCTCTTGAAAGCATCAAAGGCATCGGATTTATTTTTGAGAAAATAAACCCATACCTTTCTTGTGGCATCATCAATGAAGGTCATGTAGTATGCGTATCCTCCTAATGATGTAACTTATGCAGGTCCCCAAAGGTCGGTGTGAACTAGTTCCAGCTTCTCCGGTTTAATAGTTTGTCTACCCTTCGAGAAAATGACACGTTTCTGTTTCCCGAATATGCAGTCCTCGCATAAGCCAACCTCAACAATCTTCAGGCCAGGCAGTTTGCTCTTCGAGCACAACTCCATCCTCTTTTCGTTCATGTGACCGAGCCGACTGTGCCACAAATTCACATCGTGTGTTGTTGCGGCAGCAACATCGATGCAATCCTTCGAGTTCGTTGTCATGTACAACGTACTCTCCTTCTTCCCCTTAGCAACCAGCAAGGCTTCCTTGGTGATCTTCCAATTTTTGCTGCCGAATGTAACTGCATAACCTCCCTCATCCAGCTGCCCAATTGAAAGAAGATTCCTCCTAAAACCAGGAATGTGTCGGACACGATTCAGTTTCAGCATGCATCCGTTCGGAGTCTTCACGTGGACTGTCCCCTTCCCGACAATTTTAAGAGGCTCATCATCAGCAAGATACACCTCTCCAAAATTGCCAGGAGTATACTGTTCCATCACTTCAAAATTATCACATGAATGGAACGAGGCTCCAGAATCCCGAACCCATGACTCCAACGGACTGCTTACGCTCAGGATCAGGAGATCATCACCCGATGATTCTGGCACTGCATTGCCAGATATCTTCTCCTTCTGATCCTTGATCTGCTCCTTGCACTGGCTCTTGAAGTTTTCGTACTCCTCACAATTCCAGCACTTGATATGACTTCTGTCCTTCTTGCCCTTGCTGTTTGACTTGGATTTGGATCTTGATCTATCCCGATTTGACTTGGACTTCGACTTCGTTCTGTCTCGGTTCTTTGTACTCAACGCCGATCCAGAAGCCAATTCTGATTCCTTCCTTCGAATTTCTTCGCTGACCACCAGATTCCTGACTTCATCGAACATTAGTTTCTCCTTCCCCGCAGAAGCGCTGACTGCCGTCGGCCCGTCACCATTCTGTTCCAGCTTTCCGGGAGAGAAGACAGCAGAATTAGGGCATGAATTTCGCCGTCGAATTTTATCTCAACCGTGCTCAACTGTGTTGTGATTACATTGAACTCGTTGAGATAATCCACCACCCTCATACCTTCTGACATCTTTAGATTAAAAAGACGCTTCATCAGATGAACTTTGTTCACGGCGGATGGTTTTTCGTACATACAAAATCTGCAACATCTCCTTCGTCGTTTTTGCTTTGACGGTATGTAGGACGATGTTTCTGGACAACGATAATCGAACCACGCTCATCGCTTTTCTGTCCAGCAACTTACAGTCGCCCTCCTTCATGTCTTCCGACCTATCATTCAGAGGTTGATACAGATCTCTACCGTACAGGTAATCTTCGATCTGCAAATTCCAGAATATGTAATCCGTTCCGTCAAACTGCATCATCGGTGTCTTCGAATTGTCTGCCATCGTGAGATCTCCCTTCGAACCCAGGGCTCTGATACCAATTGTTAGGAATTTAACTCATGCACACGAAGAACAATTAAAGAACACACGAAATTTGATAACCCAGTTCGCCACGAATGACTACGTCTGGGGGCACTACCAAGCCAGGAATATTATTGCTATTTTCGGATCCACACACGGTTAGAAGGGAGAGAACTTGTATTTATAAAGTAAAACCTAACCCCAAGGTAACTAGGATGTGTTTCCAAAAATAAATTAAGAAACTTATTTCCAAAACTAAAAGAAAGGCTTGTCCGTCTCTAACACCTTACAGAAATCCAAGAAACCCGACTCCCAAAAGTATCTTCACAAATTACTTGAAGTCGGTCCCAACTAGGGGTGGTTCGGTACGATATACCTTATATTTTTTCTCATACCTTTGCCATACCAAAACTTTCGGTATGCAAAATTTGCATACCTTTACCTTACCTAAGTTTCGGTATACTGCATTTCGGTATATCGAAGTTTCGGTTCGGTAATGGTACGGTATCGGTAAATTACCGTGCATGTCTCCCAATACAAAAAATTATCATAGACTAACGAAATATATTAAATCGTTATTACTAGCGACATATTAAATCTATTATTAAAATGTTACGAAATACAATTAATAATCTATTGATGTCAATTCAATATTGAAGAATAACTATTATTACTATATTTAAGCAGTTCAACATGCCACATATTAAAAAGTAACACATTCTCCTAAAATAACTTTTTTTTTGCAAAATCTCCTAAAATAGCTTGAACAATATAGATATAATTAAATCAATAGTGATCTCTAACAAAAATAAATAAAACTATTCAAACAACATGGATATAAAATCATTTATTCCTAATATGATATTGTGTATTCAGTCATTTTTATAATTTTTTAAAAATTGAATAAGACTTTCGGACAAAGTTGTGTGTCTCGACTCGCGGAATCCCTATGTAAATACACTTGTCACATAAGTGTATCTCTCTTCACTCGTCAGCTACTTAGCGGCTCAGCCATCACGACTTGCAAGCTCTTGGAACAGGATGAACTTGTTTCATGACATTTGTACATTACTCATTAGTCATTAAGGTTAGCGTAGTAGAAGCCTATAAGGTTATAGTGGGTTTGAGAAATTGGACCTTTATTTTTGTATTTTTGTATTTGTAACCAACTTAAGTATTAATTTTGGGCTTTAAAAGTGTAATGGATTTCTACAATATATTAGAATTAAAAGTAATTGTTGAGTAGGGAGTCGGTACGGTATTATATCGGTATACTGCGGTATTTGAAAACATTTACCGTTACCGTACCGAAATAGATCGGTACAGTATGATATCGTAACAAAAATGACGGCATACCAATATTTCGGTATTTTCCGGTATTTTTCGGTACGGTAAGTGCGGTATACCGATATTTCCTTATTTTTGCCCACCCCTAGTCCCAACGCGGTTCCAAAACCCAAATAATAAGGGTCTGTTTGTAACAGCTTTTGTTTTTAAAAAAGTGCTTTTTTTAATGAAATGAGGAGAAGTGATTACATAAAGTTGATAGTGTTTGATAAAAATGTGATTTTGAAAAATAATAGTGGGTAGTGTTTGGTAAAATAAGTGTTTTTTATGTATTATGTAATATAAAAAGTAAAAGCACTTTTGACACGGAAGTCGAGAAAAATAAAAGTTGTAGTGTTTGAAAAAATAAGTAATTTTTTAAAGCCAAACCAACCAACTGTATCCTACAATGGGGGTGTTTGGAACTGATTCTGCTTCTGCTTCTTTTTTAAAAGTAGAAGAAGAATCAGAATCAGTTTTCAGAAGCTGGTACCCCCAGCTTCTAAAAAACTGATTCTGAGAGTAAATTAGAGCTCCAGAAGTACTTCTGGAATTTCACCCAAACACTCCAGCTTCTGCTTTTGCTCTCTGAAGGAGCAGAATCAGTTTTGAGAATCAGATCCAAACACCCCCAATATGCAAGACGCCCAGTTCCCTCCAGCAACCGGGTCAGTCCGTTGCTGGCGGCGGCGACCGGTGAAGCTCCGGCAAGGTGCGGCGACACAAAGTGGCCGGTAAATCTATCCCGGAAATTTCCAGCGGATTCCAGGGCCGGAGGCTGCGCCAGGTGGCAGGTCTGCAGCAGGTGGCAGATGGCCGGTGACCGGAGGTTGGCGGCGGTGGCCGTCGGTAGTGGTATGGCTGGGCGCTCCAAAAGGCTACTAGAGTATATTTGTCCAAGCAGACATGATTAGTCCTATTTAAAGAATTTAAAACATATAGTCCTATTTGTGAATTTAGAGCATCTCCAATGGGGTAGTGGATTGGAGTAAGGTGTATCTTACGTGGCATAGGAGAGAGATAGAGATAGGATGATTATTTTAATTTAATATGAAGAAAGTGGTGTGTAGGAAAAATGAAAAGGAAGAGAGAGATAGGAGTAAAGTGTAGACAATGTCTATGACAATGTCCACAAATAGACATTACACGGGAATCGAGGAGCAAAAGTGGGAAAAGTGGGTTAGAAGTGATATAAAAAATGAAAATGAAAAGAAATATGGAGATATGTAGGTCCTACACATAAAATTTGTGAGATAAAAAATGGGACCCAATTGTAAGAGGGTGTAAGAGAATAGACATCCCCATTGGAGATGCTCTTAGAGTGCAGAAACGCGGATAGCCTTAACAGTCTAAAATATTAGGGGTCTAAGAAGAAGAATGTTAGGAGTCAATAGAAGAAAGATGAAAGAAAATGAACATTGAGTGGAACTTCTTAATTCCAGCTGATATGTTGTCTATATGAGGAACGGAAACGGAAAGAACAGTATGGGATAAATGGCATTCCGCTTTAGCCGGGCTTTATATGCCTTGGCCGACCTCTTCCTCTTGTGTGTTATCACATTAAAAAAGGTTAAACTTTATAGAAATAGTAACCAAGGTAAGGATTTTATACATGTTAATTTGTACTGCTATATTTAGTCAGGCGGATGAATTCATTATCGCCTCTGGCGTTAAATACATTTTGCCTAGGTTCCAGTATATGGCGGTGTCTGATGAGAAACAGAGAATAATGCCAACGGCCCAAGACCGACAAGAGGGTAAAATACTTGATTACCCGGAAGCTGTTCTTTTGATAAACCCAAAAAACTCTTTCTTGAGGGGAGAGGTAAGGGTGAACCATATATTATGTGATTTTTTTATGTACTTAATAGTTAATACTATCTAGGATTTGAGTGGATTGTGCTTTTAAAGGAGTATGTATGAATTAAGTTATGTTCACTAATATATATTGTTTCTTAAAATGTTGGTTTATTCTTCTTTGGTCACACATATATATATATGTATCAATGCATGTATGTAGGTTGATGATAAATATCAATATTCTTGTGAAGACAAGGATAACCGAGTCCATGGATGGATAAGTCTGTACCCGCCGACGGGGTTTTGGATGATCACTCCAAGCAATGAGTTTCGAAACGGAGGTCCTTTAAAACAAGATCTTACTTCACATACTGGCCCTATCACTCTTTCGGTAAGTATTAATGGATTGGGTTGGAGTTACTTGTCTAGAGTCTAGACTCAGATCAAAGCAGACTAAAAGATTGATTCAACCTAAGGTCTTATTTAACCCATCATCCTCTACTAGATCGGTTGGAATGCTTAAGAGGGGCCTGACACTTTCTTTCAACATTGTGTTCGACAGCACAAAGTTGGGCTTAAATTGTGTTTATTGATTTTGCGTCAGATGTTTTTCAGCACACATTATGCTGGGGAAATGTTGGGAATGAAATTCCGAAATGGAGAGCCATGGAAAAAAGTTTTTGGGCCCGTTTTTGTGTACCTAAACTCAGTTGAAACCGATGAATATGCTTTGGATCTTTGGGCAGATGCAAAGGAGCAGATGTTCATAGAAACTGAAAGTTGGCCATATGAGTTCCCACTCTCCGAAGAATTCTTTCCATCTCAGAAAAGAGGTCTGATAAGTGGAAGGCTACTCGTTCGAGACAGGTAAGTTCCCACTCTCCGAATATGTTTTGAGACTTATTAAGCTCCAACATGCAATTCGATCCAGGTTTGTTTAATGTGAGCACGTTGACTTCAAGAATTTTCTCATTTAACGGATAAACATGCAGCAAACATGTTAGGCTGTATGCTACTTCGTATTGAATTGAGCTTTTCGAATCCAATCTCAAATTTTAATACAATGAAACAATATAAATTGGGCAGATATAAAGTTTTATTTTCTTTTTTCTTTTTTTTTTGCCGCAGCTACATCAATGAAAGGCTTATGGCTGGTAGTTCGGCTTCCGTTGGGCTTGCTCGTCCAGGCAATCTAGGATCATGGCAATATGAAAGCAAGGTCAACATTTACCACTGATACGATCATTCTCAATAAAAAAAAGAAAAAGCTAGGCATCTGCAGATTGGGACACAGTAGCCAGTGAGGGAGTAATTGGGGTCATATCAAGATTTGGTTACACTTATGCTGAATACATGTACATGATGTTTTATTTTTTTAGCATTGGGTGCCTGTTAACCATACTCTAGTTCGTGCCTAGTACCTTGCCCCAACCATTCCACTCCAAAATCTAGAGTAAATCGCTGAGTACTTGGCGACTCATTTACACACCGAGTAACTCGGTCGTATTAAAATATGATGTATTTTTCCTGAAATATTGAAACTAAAGATTGTTTTTTTTTAAATTAAAGCTGTATCTTGATAAAAGGAAAACGAACATCATAATTCTAAATTTGGGATGCATTAAGATTAAGATTTCACACGGTGAGGTTCAGAATATGTAATTGTAGTGTAAATTCATCTTGGAATTTGTGTGAGGATTAGTGTAGGATATAAGTTAAAAATTAGTATTTATGAGATGACGGATCTTCTTTATATAATAGACTTACAAGACTAATTAAACCAGAAATTTATGGCATACTTTAAAAAAAATTATTAGTAGAAGACCAAGTAGCCACAGAGTACCAATTTAACTACCTAGATCACTAGTAAGTGTCTGCCAATGTACCCTAGGACAGATTAGGTCTAGGGGAAAACTTATTTTCCCTGTGCAATATTTTTTACAACAATTGAAAGTTTAAAATATGACCTGGAAGGGGTGGCTGGGGGGAGCAGTTAACACGTGACTGTAAAGTCATCCTGTGTCAAATAAACATATACTAGTATATATAAATATACAGACCAATGCATAAGGTCTCGACCTACTTTTCATGTTGGATTGTCAAATGAATTTTCGCAATGCTGTTTATCTCGTGCACAACCTACCTCTCAAGTAGGTAGATGCATTTATTTTACCTCAATGACTCCAAAGAAGTTTCAAACAAACTTGTTAAAGAAAAAAAATTCTGTTTTCAGGGTTATCAGTTCTGGACTGAAGCTGATTCAGAAGGGTATTTCTTGATTAACAATGTTTTACCGGGCAACTATAGCTTGTATGCCTGGGTGCCTGGATTTATGGGTAGTTACAGATATGATTTCTACATAACTATCACAGCAGGATCAAGAATCAGGCTTGAGAATCTCATATACGATCCTCCCAGAACAGGTCCAACCCTGTGGGAAGTTGGGATCCCTGATCGGACGGCATCTGAGTTTTTCATTCCCGATCCTTATCCAATGCTTGAGAATCAATTATACACGGAAGATACCTCAGAAAAGTAAGCAAAACTATTTCAATCTTATTACTTAAAATAAACTTCAGTCTATAATTTTAATCATCAATTACATAGTAAGAGAAAAAGAATTTCAGGTTTAGGCAATATGGGTTGTGGGACAAATACACAGAGCTATACCCGGATGAAGATCTGGTCTTTGTAGTGGGAAGAAGCAGTTTTGAGATTGATTGGTTTTTTGCACATGTTAATAGATTCGTAGTAGATGGGTATGTATGTATGTATGTATCTATGTGCACTTTGAGTTGATTAATTAATTAAAGGACATGAAAGATGTGGGGATCCAACGGTAGAGAAGCTAACAGTTTATTTGTTTAATTAACAAAACAGTAATGTATGATGATATATGGATGGATGTAGGGAAGAAGGAAAGAAACGGTATATACCGAGTACATGGAGAATTGAGTTTGAGCGTGAGGAGAGCTTTGATGATGATGAGTTGGGAAACTACACTCTTTGGATTGCATTGGCATCAGCACATGAAGCTGAATTACAGGTACTCACTAACTAACTACATGTATGTATGTATATATGTACCCATTGCATTGTGATGAATGAAAAGTAAAGAGGAAGGTTGTTCAAGCGTTTTTCAAATGTAAATACGTACAAGTGGGATGATGTAGGTGGGAGTGAATGATGAAGAGATGGTTGTGCCACACTTCACAACGGGGTTAATAGGAAAGGACAACGCAATTGCAAGGCATGGGATTCATGGGTTGTACTGGCTTTTCAAGGTTGACGTGCCCCCCTCATCTCTCCTTCCTGCTCCCCATCGTCGCAATTCCCTCTTCTTTAGGCAGGTTAGAGGCTCCAGTCCTTGGAGTGGGGTCATGTATGATTACATTCGTTTCGAAGCACCCGCCTCATCCTGAAAATGATTTTTTTTCAACTCCATACATACATGTATGTTTGAAGCAAGGAAAGTGTAGCCTATATATTAGGCAAATGCATCGCCACATGATCATGTAAGTACACTGAAATGGTTTGCACGCCATCAATCAAATGTGTGGACATGGTAATATATACGAAATGGGTTTGATTCACAAATTTGCAAGAGCGGAAGAAAGTTTTTCATGTATCCAGTACGGCAGTATGATATACTTCGTACTACGTATTAAGGTAACAGCCGTCTGCTAAAGCTTAAAATGAATGAAGTTGCTGAATTTTTTTATGTGAAGCCCAAATGTTCAAATTACTAAACACTATTGAATGAGCTCTCACATCATAGCAAAAAAAATCAATTATGCCCTCGTACAAAATAAAAACCCAATCAAGCACCTAAGCTTTTAAAAATGCTCAATTTTATCCTAATAGGCCGTAATCAATTGGTTCTCCGGTTAATTTGCACGTGTGGTGACCCATGTGGCTGTGGCGATCAATATCCGCTATGTAGAACAATTTAAATGGAATTAGGTGTTTCAGTCATTGCCGCTTTGTCTTCTCCGTTCTCAGGCAGTTCACTAGCTTTCTTCATCTTTGTTTGATACAAGTTGGGCTCCCTAGTTTATAGCGTAGAAGTAGACAACGAGAAATGTCTATCTGCAGACCTTGCTTGAGAGAATATAGGATAAGAGTAAATGGGGAAGAAGATGATTAGTATTCATTGCTTAACCTCAAATGAGTTGTACATCAAGTATATAAATCGATCAAAGTCTTAACAAATCTACTCCTTGATGATAAGACTCAAGTTGTGAATATGTACCTTCTGGACTGCTTTTAACTTCTAACTCCTTTTGTTAGTACCTTCTGGACTGCTCTCTGGTATACATCAAATATCCAAGCACCCTTAGAAGCGCTTTCCAGTGTTCTCTACCGGGATTTATTGAAAATCGGCTTAACTTATTCACAGCTTAAGTTATATCGGGTCGCGTTCCATTCATGACATATGTTAAACATCATATGACCTGAGGATAGTCATCTGCTGATACACTTTCTCCTCTGTTTTTACTGAGGTGAACACTGGAATCAAAAGGAGTTCTCATGGGTTTGATATCATACTTCTTGAATCTCTCAAGCATTTTCTCAATGTAGTGTGATTGAGACAATATCAACCCTTCAGGTCTTATGGTGGTTGTAATTCCTAGAATTACATCCCCAACACCGAGATCCTTCATTTCAAATTTCTTGGCCAACATACTTTTCGTAGCTTTTATCAAATTCGTGTCACTACCAAATATGAGCATATCATCTACGTATAGACAAACTATGACGTAGTCCTTTTGATTGCCTTTCACATACACACATTTGTCGGCCTCGTTGATTTTAAATCCATTTGATAGCATTACACTATCAAATTTATCATGACATTGCTTGGGGGCTTGCTTTAACCCATAAAGAGATTTTACTAAGCGACAAACCTTTATTTCTTGTCCGGGGACAATAAAACCTTCAGGTTGTTGCATGTAAATCTCTTCCTCTAAATCACTGTTCAAGAATGCAGTTTTTACATCCATTTGATGGATTTCCAAACCCTTCAATGCAGCTATTGCCAATAGCATTCGAATTGAAGGTATTCTTGTGAGTAGTGAATAAACATCAAAGTAATCAAACTCCCCTTTTGGTTGTATCCTTTGGCAACCAATCGAGCTTTGTACTTCTCAATTGTTCCATCAGTTCTTCTTTTCTTTTTGAAGATCCATTTGCATCCTAGAGGTTTAGACTCAGGAAGCAAATCTACCACTTTCCAAACGTGGTTAGACATGATGGAATCAATTTCACTTTTGATAGCCTCTTGCCATTGTGCAGCGTCCGGTGAAGACATGGTTTCCTTATAAGTTTGAGGCTCATTATCTAATAGGTACACAACAAAATCGGGTCCAAAATTCTTAGATTTTCTAGCCCCTTTGGTGCGTCCCATTTCACATTCTTCCGCCACTTCATTGTTATCATTTATAGAATCAAAAGATCTCTTATGTGAATTGGTTTCTTCAACATGGGTTGGAATGAAAACATCCATGTCGAAGGAGACAACTTCACAATCTCCCTTGAAAGGGAATACATTCTCGAAGAATGTTGTGTCTCTAGATTCTATAAAATTATCGGCAACTACCTCATCATTATATGACTTGTGGACAAGAAAACGATATGCACTTCTATTTTGTGCATGTCCAACAAAGAAATAATCAATGGTCTTTGGTCCAAGCTTAGTTCTTTTAGGTTTAGGAATAGCTACTTTCGCAAGACATCCCCATACCCTCAAGTAATTGAAACTTAGCTTTTCCCTTTCCATAACTCATATGGAATCTTGTGTGATTTCTTGTGGGGCATTCTATTTAGAATGTAGTTGGCAGCTAGCACAACACCCCCCACAAGTCGTTCGGAGCACGAAAGCTAACTAACATGGCATTAACCATGTCCTTTAACGTTCTATTTTTCCTCTCAGCGATTCCATTAGATTGAGGTGTATAAGGAGTAGTATTTTGATGAATTATTCCACTTTCCGAGCAGATGGATTCAAAGGGATATTCATATTCACCGCCCCTATCACTCCTTAACACTTTAATATTTCTCCCAAGTTGATTTTCAACTTCAGCTTTATAATGTTTAAAAGCATTAACAACTTCATCTTTGCTATGTAGCAAATACAGATAGCAATATCTTGTGCTATCATCGATGAAGGCAATGAAATACCTTTTCCCCCCCTCTAGTTTCTTCATACTTGAGATCACAAAGATCTATGTGTATGAGATCTAGCGGTTCAGTTTATCTAGTAATAGAGTGAAAAGGGTTTCTAGCCATTTTTGCTTCAACACAAATTTCACACTTGTGATTAGGATCAAAATGACATTTAGGAAGCAATTCTAAATGCATTAATCTACACAAAGTATCATAATTGACATGTCCTAATCTAGCATGCCAAATAGAAGAAGACTCAACCAAGTAAGAAGAATCCACTTTATTATTATTCACAACTTTGGGTACAATGGTAAGTACATTCATTTTGAAGAGACCATCATTGAGATAGCCCTTCCCTACAAACACATCATTCTTTGTAAGTACGAATTTATCAGCCACAAAGACAAGCTTAAAGCCATTTTTGCTAAGGAGGGAGTCTGAAACCATATTCTTGCGTATGTTAGGGACATGTAGCACATCGTTCAAAGTTAGTGTTTTCCCACTCGTCATTTTGAGGACAACTTTGCCACGACCTTCCACTTTAGATGTAGAAGAGTTACCGATAAAGAGTTGTTCCTCGTTATCAGCAGGTTGATAATCAGTGAAAATCCACTTGTTAGCACAAATATGTCGGGTAGCTCCAGTGTCAATGCACCATTCTTTAGTGTTACCCACTAAATTGCATTGAGATATCACGGCACATAGGTTCATTTCACCCATGTCATCGGAGAGGTCGTCCACAATATTGACTTGTCCGGTCTTCTTTTTCTTATGAGCACGACAGTCCTTAGCACGGTGATCGGGCTTGCCACAATTGTAGCACTTTCCTTTGAACTTCTTTGACGAAGGCATCCCTCCACTTCTTCCTTCGTCACTGTGCTTTCTCTTCTTCCCTTTCTTGGATTCCGCTTCCAACATGTTTGCCTTAGCTTCCATGAAATTAGATCGTCCAGCCTTATGCTCGGCTTTGAGATTATCCTCCTCTATCCTTAACGAACAATGAGCTCCTCTAGGGACATTTCCTTACGCTTATGTTTCAAGTAATTCTTGAAGTCTTTCCATTTGGGAGGTAACTTTTCAATTACCACCGCCACTTGGAAAGACTCGCTAAGGGACATACCCTCAGCGTAAATTTCATGAAGAATAAGTTGGAATTCTTCAACTTGAGAAACAACCGATTTGTTTCATTTGACTGTCTTTCCAATCGAATTTTGAACTGAAATTTGGTATGGATAAACTAGACTTGATGAGGAACATGCACAAAAAAAATTCATCAAACATTTCACCGGGAAGACCCCCAAACGTGGAAGGCCGCACGGGCCTGTCCGGTCAGGCCGCCTGACTCGAACAGCCCTATATATATATATATATATATATATATATATGTCTATTTGATGCATTTTTCAAAAAGTGCATCAAATAAGGTCTATTCGAAAGTGCATCAGATAGGGGTTATTGTGCATTAGATCGACACTTTGGACAGCTGAGATTAATTCTCATTTTATACGTTAAGATGTCTTCTCATTTGAACTCATTCCTATATATATGTGTATATATATATGTGTGTGTGTGTGTGTGTGTGTGTGTATATATATATATATGGAGCGGTTCCAATGAGAACCATGTTTAACGTGAGAACGTGAGAACCATGCACTTTTATTACATCTCGGTGCACTATTAGGCTCATCTACTGCATTTTTTAAATTTTGATCAAAACATGCTAATATCAAATAAATGTGGTGGCAGATTTCTAAATATTTCGTCAACATGAAAATGTGCAACATATACATGATATAATGCATCACATCTGCTTAAAAGTGGAATTCTCACGTTCTCACGTTAAGCATGGTTCTCATTTGAACCTAAATTTATATATATGTATGTATGTATATATATATATATATATATATATATAGGGGAAAGATCAAGTACAAAGTGTGCTTATTGTGCAAATATTTGTACGATGCACCTTGACGTTATTTGCATTGCATATTGAGGTTCAAAGTATTGCACATTATAAAGTCATAATAATAACAGTTGCACATTAAGGTGCAACGAGTTGCACCCTAAAAAGTTGGGTTTTATTACAAAAATGCCACCTTGCCTTTATGTCCTTTGGATCAACTCATCGGACGGTCAAGATGAGTTTGTACTTTGTAAATTAAGAAGACTTTGTATTTGATCTCTATTCTATATATATATATATATATATATATATATATATATATATATATATATATATATATATATATATAGAAAACTTCATGTCAGGCCGGCCTGACGGGCTGCCCCGTCCGGCCGAGCCCGTTTGGGCACCTTCCCGGTGGAAGTTTTTTATGAAATTTTTTGAGCATGTTCCTCATGAAGTCTAGTTTGTCCATACCAAATTTCAGCTTAAAATTCGATCGGGAAGGTCGTCAAATGATTTTTGCAAGTTAACTGGTCCGGAATATGTATTTTCCGGACCAGTTAACTTGCAAAAATCATTTGACGACCTTCCCGATCGAATTTTGAGCTGAAATTTGGTATGGACAAACTAGGCTTGATGAGGAACATGCTCAAAAAATTTCATCAAAAACTTCCACCGGGAAGGTGCCCAAACGGGCTCGGCCGGACGGGGCAGCCCGTCAGGCCGGCCTGATGAGAAGAGCCCTATATATATATATATATAGGAAATACTTCTGGTAAGGTATACCTTACCGGAGCCGCCGTGCGGCCTCCACGTTTTGAGGGCCTTCCCGGTGGAATCTTTCGATAAAATGTTTTGAGCATGTTCTTCATCAAGTCTAGTACATCCATACCAAATTTCAGCAAACAATTCAATCAGGAAGGCAGTCAAACGATTTTTGGAAGATAGCTGTGTTTTATATGTATATAAAGGGTGCAGTTATCTTCCAAAAATCATTTGACTGCCTTCCCGATTGAAGGTTTTGCTGAAATTTGGTATGGATGTACTAGACTTGATGAAGAACATGCTCCAAAAATTTAATCGGAAAATTCCACCGGGAAGGCCCTCAAATCGTTGAGGCCGCACGGCGGCTCCGGTAAGGTATACCTTACCGGAAGAGTTCCCTATATATATATATATATATATATATATATATATATATATATATATATATATATATATATATATATATATAGGTTGAGGTTCAAGTGAGAAGTACCCTTTAGATGAGAAGTGAGAATGAATCTCAGCCATTGGATTCGACTAAGTTGCAGCAAAAACACTTCATGATGCACTGAAATATGCAATCTTGCACGGTGGCATTTCTGTAAATACTTCTAAAAAATCCGTATTACACTTGTCTAGTGCAACATGAAGCTATTTCGATGCAACACCATCAAATATTAGTGCAACATGAAACAGCTTTAGTGCAACATTGCAAAATTTAAATATTACTGCAACATAAAATAATTTTTAGTGCAACTTCTTAAATCTAATGGCTGAGATTCATTCTCATTTCTCACATTAGATGCATTTCCCACTTGAACCAATATATATATATATATATATATATATATATATAGAGAGAGAGAGAGAGAGAGAGAGAAATATTCAGGTCAGGTATACCTGACCACTGCCCCCGTCCGGCCTCCTCCATTTGGGGGTCTTCCCGATGGTATTTTTTGCTCAAATTTTTTGTGTAGGTTCCTCATTAAGTCTAGTTCATCCATACCAAATTTCAGCCAAAAATTCAATCGGGAAGGTCGTCAAATGATTTTTGCAAGTTAACTGGTCCGGAATATGTATTTTCCGGACCAGTTAACTTGCAAAAATCATTTGAGGACCTTCCCGATTGAATTTTTGGCTGAAATTTGGTATGGATAAACTAGACTTGATGAGGAACATACACAAAAAATTTGAGCAAAAAATACCACCGGGAAGGCCCCCAAAAGGAGGAGGCCGGACGGCGGCTCCGGTCAGGTATACCTGACCGGAAGATTACTCTATATATATATATATATATATATATATATATATATATATATATATATATATAAAGCTATATCTTTTTAGAAGCGAATTACATCTTCTGAAGCGCGAGTTACATTTGGACTTGTCTCAACAAGTTGCATTTTAATTAAAACAGTTTACATTTCAACGAGTTACATGTGAATGAGTGTAATTTACATTTTGATTAACTTGAAGTTACAAGTGTATTCACACGAGTTACATTTCATATAGCTACGGGAGCATGGTGTTCACCATGCACCGGTTGCACCGTATACGAACTGCTAAAAATAACACCAACGTTATTCACCAAGTTCAAATTGGATACTCAACTTTCAAATTGATCAAATAAAAACACAGGTCACTTATTTCGGCAACTTTTGGTCACCTAATAACATTTCAATTTAACGATGCTTCTCAACGGTAACCCTATTCAGCCAGATTTGTCTACTTTACATGTCTGTTTCTTGCTCCACCTATATCCCCAATATCTTTCCCTTCTTATGGTCTATATCATTCACATGAATGCAACGAAACCAAGTTTCTTATCAACTTGTGCCTTGTCTGTTAGAATGTAGGTGAGTTTTAGTGGTGGAGCTCTGACACATTAAACCCTTTCAAGTCATGGTTTCTCTTTAACAAGCCGTTGTCAATGAGAGGTACACAACATGCTGTCTTTTCAGCCGGCAACGGGGCGAAAGTTGCTTGCTGCTCAGGTAATTGAGTTTTGCTCCTCTGTTAATCTACTCAACTTCCTCTATATGAATCCGAGCCTCCACAAGCACACATTGATGACACCAAGTTCGTCATCTATGCAAAGAGGAGTTTCACGAATTCGGACGGAGGATACAACTCTTTAATTACTCATAGGAGAATAATGTCTCGGTGGATTCATTCTACCGGTATAAGCCACAACTCAGCTGGACACGGAAAACGTTTTCTTATTATATCACGGTCAGAAACATAATTCACTAAAGATTCAATACATATGGTTCTAGATCCATTCTGCGGCGAAGGAGTGCTTTTGACCTGTGTGCAATATGTGAATGAGTCTTCATGGATTCAATAACTATGGGAACAATTTCTTGGGTCTGGTTTATAGCTTGAGTGAATTCAACGATTGTTGATGACTTGTCGTTGAGTTTGAACTAAAATGTTAGTGGGTGGTCAAGTATTGCTTAAATGAGATGTTTATGTGTTAAATTTAGGGATGGACGTGGTTCGGGCCGCCCGACCCGGTACTGTTTAGAACCGGCCCAGGAAACCGGTTCCGGTTCTGGTTCGGGCCTAGGCCCGTGGGGTTAAGTAGTTCCTGGCCCGGGTCAAGAAAAGGCAAATCAGCTCGGTTCGGGCCCAGTTCGGGCCTTTTTTTTTGTTTTTTTGGGTATGGGCTAAGTTTAGTTGGACCGTGCTGGGTGTTTTCGAGGGGTTTGGGGGGTGGGGGATGAAATAGATAAGAAATTTCAAAAAAAAAATGAACTGAAACCTGCCCGGCCCAGAACCGCCTACCCGGGCCAATTCCAATTCCCCCTTTCCCAAAAAAAGGTCGGGCCAGGCCCAGGCCCGAATCGGAATCAGCCCGGGTCCACCCCTAGTTAAATTAGTCCATTTAAAGGTTGGGTGCCCAATTCATATTTCATTAACAACCTTATTGTACCTTCTCTGCCATACATGGCCTCGGTTCGGGCCGCCCGGCCCGGGACCGGCCCGACCCGCTACTGTGCGGGCCCGGCCCGGCCCGGTTATCCGGGTCCGGGTCCGGTTCGGGCCGGAGGCCCGGGGTGGGGCGGTTCCGGGCTCGGTTCATGGTTTTGACGGCCCGGCCCGGCCGGTTCGGGCCCGGGTCCGCGCCAAATCTATTTTTTTTTTAATTTTTTTCATTTGTTTTGGGCTGTTGGGCTTGGGATATCTGTTTAGGCCAGTTTGGGGGGGTTTGGAAGGGTGGGGGGTGGGGGGGGTGGGGGAAGAAAGGAAAAAAAAAAAAATAAACCGGGTGGCCCGACCGGCCCGGCCCGGTCCGGCCCGGAACCGGACCCGGAACCGGTGGCCACCGGTTCGGGCTCGGGCCCAACAAAACAGACCCGAGGCCCGGCCGGGCCTAGGCCCGAACCGGGCCCGAACCGGCCCGGGTCCATCCATATTCTCTGCCGAACGATTGTGTAATGTCTAATTCTCTTTCTTTTCTCATTTTGTAAATTTCTTTGGCGCCACATGAACCAATCACATAAGTGTGTTTAGGTATCGACCCGGGCCGAGTCAGACCCGGGCCGGGTCGTATGTAATTTTTTTTGCTTTCGTAACTACCCTGACCCCCCCCCCCCCAACACCCAGCCCAATCCGATGGAAACTCAAAAATAATGAAAAAAAAAAAAGGAATTGGGCCCGAACCAGGCCTAGGCCCGGCCGAGTCCCCATTTGCCCTACCCGTGCCCGCCCCCCACTATCCCACAGGTTCGGGTCACCACCCAGTCCCGGACCGCCAGAACGGGCCGGTCCCAGGCCCGCACAGTAGCGGGCCGGGTGGCCCAAACCGGATCCATCCCTAAATGTGTTTGAATTGCGCATAAGAGCATGCGAACAGATACGAGAGTTTAGATAGCGCCAAGCATAGCAAAATCCTGGTATTTCAGCCGATTGACAGTTTTTTATCATTTCGGACAGCAAATTTTGTGCTGTAAAAAATCGATTTTCTGAAAAGGGAAGGGAGAACTTCATATGAATGTTATCCTAGATGAGAAAAAACAACAAAAAGTTCCACATTGAGCTCTCCAAAGCATCTATCCGCTTACTTAGTTACTTAAGCTGAAGAGAGAGCAGGTTCTTACAAAGATTATATAGCTTTTCCACCGAGAAAACCAAAAAGCTTTTCATCCTTAAATAAATCCCTTCACTTCCAAGCCAGCCAGGGGGTTAAAACGGGTCAGACTATCTGTCAGTTGTTCTCAAATTTTCATAAAAACAACAGCTAATAGGATTGGTGGGGCCAAATGAAGAATTCAGCTGGCGGGTTCTGAAACGGGACAGCAGAGACATCGCTTGACATGTCAGCACTGCCACCAGAGTGGAGGTGGTGAAACAAGCCAGCATGGTGATGGTAAAAGGAAGTTGTCGGATCAAATGGGACACCGCATGGAATGGCGGAAACGGGCGGAATGGCACCGAAACTTATGCCGCTTTGGTTCTGGTGGTGGTTGCTGCCTACAAGGGGAAGCGGTTTCTGTTCTGATTCCAGAGATAGCTTTAGGCGCTTCGCAGCCCCGCTGACAGGTAGGGCACTCTTCATTATGGCTTCAACATCATATCGGCTCATTTCAAAATTGGTTACTGCATTCATGCCCCTGAACTTTATTGCGGCAATGTCATATGCTTCAGCAGCTTCTTCCTCGGTCGCTGAATTACAAAACATAAAAACTTATAACTTGAAAAATGAGAATGTTTAAAAAAAAAATCCCCAAATAAGATTGGATAACCATGGTTGTTTATTTCCGAAAATGACTTGTATACTTTTATGTGACCCCTTGATAAGAACTACAGCAAGTGCAAACCTGTGATCACTATGGATTTAGAAATTTGTTGATAATAACTTAAACACATTGTCTAATACCGCAACCATAAAAGGCTAAGAAATCAACATAAATCAATACCGCAACCAAAAAAAGGAACATCCCCAAAATCGGTATTATAATTTTCCTTTGAACTTAGAAGAAAATAACATTTTGGTACTTCTTCAATCACTTCGGAAATTTCCAGGTCACTGTCCTGTTTTGTAATTGAGGCGTGTAAAGGAAAATCTATAAAAAAAAAAAATACCAAAAGTTCCAAGGTAGAGATCTTTGTTCCCAGCAACACGACCAATTCTTGCTTGCCAACGCCCTTGCTGATGATGCCTGCACAAATGATCTTCGTTAAGTTCTTACATCTCAATCCGAACAATTAAAGATTGAAAAAGTTCAAACCTTGTCACACCGCGGTAGATAGATGCTCCCCGGGAGAATCCGCTACTTTTCCTGTCACCCATACACACACGCATTATAGATCAAGATATATGTGAAGCATACCTTCTTCAAATTTTTTGACACATTCTGTATACATAATGAGTGCCCAAACCTTCTTAATGAAGCAATGAACTCTTGCTTAGTCATATGCTTCATGTCTTCCAATTCTTTGCTATAATTTGAAATCTGAACACAATGCCATTCTCATTAGTTAGTTTCCATTAACATTATTCATCAGACATGTTTTATCTTCTATCCTGCTGACCCAAATTTGAATTTTTAATGAATTGTCATCAATGCATACACACGCCATGCTGATAATGTCTACCCTCCTTACACTAGCGTAAATTACTTGTGTTGGGCCGGTTCAAAAAAAGCATATAAATTTACACATATATTGGATGTTCATTTCAAATTTGGGGTTGGCCACCTAGCATGCTCGCACTAGGCCATACTACAAGCGAATATATTTATTTATATGAATGGGTATTTATAATAACCAGGTCACTCAACCCCGGTCAGTATAAGGATGTGATGGGCCGTTGTACATTTTTTGTTATTTTGGGTTGATGCATTCCTAGCTAGATCCAACAACGTTCTGAGAAGGAAAAAGGGGATGGGGGAGAGGCGTGTGTACCGGAAAGTTAGTGGTGGCTGTTGGGCCCCAGTACTTCAGTGCAGCCAAATCATATGACCTTGCCGCCTTGTCCTCCTTATCATAACCACCTGCTCATTCCATACACTGTATATAAGAATCGCTGCTTGCAGAATCAAATAAACTTGAATTTGTTCTTTTAGCCCTTTTTGAAGATTAATGGAGAGAACTTACCCAAATACACTGATGAAGGCAGAAGCAAACACCAATGCAGTACATGCAAAATTAGCAGGGAAAATATCAGTTTTTGCAATAAAAAGCGACCAAACAGTAATTAAACAATAGACTTCTAATGTTCTGTAATCATTTTTGTACCGTTCTTTTGATTAGCAAAAGGTCAGAACAAGTCATTTGAAACTGGTATGTAGTAGTTAGAAAAAGAGAGCATTGTCATCTGGTACTGTAATGGTAAAAAAACTGGGGATTCCATCACATGATTTTGTCAATCTCAACAAATAAGATGTTTTTATCGACTTAAGTGTTGTGTGGTCCATAGAAAACTAGCTGTCATGTTTTAAGGTTGAAGTGTTAACTTGCTCAAATCCAGAGATAAGCACAGATATAGCACAAGACAAAACAACTTGTGCATGTCTGTACGTGGTGCTTGCTTAAGAGAGTAATTAAAGCAACACTTGTCATTCTAACGCTTGCACCACTAAAATACATATTTCAGGCCCACACAAAGATGGTTGTACCATTCTGTGATTGAAATGAGTAAAAAAGGGTATATTTCCAACCAAAATAGAGAGCTGGAAATTGAATAAATTTGAACAAATGATGTCTCGTACACCCGTTGGCAAAACTAATACTATGTACTTCGTATTAGTCAACTACGTGAGTCGTCATCTAGCTTTGGAAAGACTTGACTAATTTCTGCAATGCATCAAGCCAAAATAACAAAAAATGTACAGTGCACAAAGCAAGGCTTTTTAAATTTGAGTTTTTGTTGATTATCATCAATTGTTGTTGTTGTATTGAGCATTAAAACAACAGAGTACGTACAAAAGACAAGTTGAAAGGAGACGTACATATATACTACACTGTATGTATGTATGGGAAAAGGACTGGACTATGGTCAAACCTAATGAGAGCCTATGGCCCCCCTTTGGGGAGAAAAAGGGAAAAGTAAAAGTTGAAGATAAAGCAAAATCTGATATACACAAACACACTAGACAAGCTCAGCAAAGTGTTGTACTGCTGCTGTATAGGTACGTAGGGAGCGCGAGGTCATTTACATTAGATCACACCACTGTATACCTTTTGGACAAATCTTAGATACATCTCTAGTCTAGGCTAGGCTACTTACATTCGTAGTATATTCTCACCAATGCATCATACACTATCTTTTATTCCATACTCCCTCCCATTTTTGTTTTCTTTCCTTTCTTTTTTAGGTTATCTCAAAATGAATTCATATTTCTTTTTTGTGAATTTTTGGTAAGAAATATGTAAATCTTATCATTTCCCTTTACTCAAATATCAACCACAACTTTTATTTTTCAATCATTTTATTAATAATCGTGTCAGAAATAAGACAACCAATATGGGACTCAGGTAGTACAATGTTAAGCAAAAATAACTGTACAGTTTTAGCCTTTACAAGATGAGAGAGAGATGGAAATAGTATCGATCATGCACTATTTTTGGTGTGCAAATATAAGTCTCTATCCAATTTGTGGTGGTACTGTACCACAAAAAGCAAAAACTATAGCTTCGATTTACTTAAAAGAGAAAGAAAAATTGCTTAGCGCACAACTCTTTGCATTCTTTTTTTAAGTAGCATATCATGTATTTTCACTATTTTGTGGTACTTATAAATAAAATATTAGGAGTAGGTGAAAAAATTGGGAAAAAAAAAATTAAGATGATTGCAACAAAAAATACAAGACAGTAATTTGTAAAAAGTAATTGTGATAAAAATGAGGGTATAAATGTTTTTGTATAGATTATCAGAATGTTTTTGGTTTAAACTCAAGGCATTTGAGTAATTTTACAAATAAACTTATTAAAAATGAAAATGTGCAGTGATAATAAAAATGGGCAGAGGGAGTGGTAGTGTAGTACTAGTATGCAAAACAATAATTTGGGATTAGACAAAAAAGGGACGGGGTAATTAAATGGTGCAGAAGGCAACAAAACTGGGTACCCCAGAAGTTGAACAGAATGGCGGCCGATCGGATCAAATCAAGGGAAGAAAGAGCAGAGATAGCTGCTGGCTGCTTTTTTTAGCTAGCTAATGTAGGGAGTAGGATTGGATCACTGGTAATGGTGGAATGTCATCATTCAATCAATCATCATAAAAGCCTGATTTGAAAGCAGCTGTCAAAATGCTGCTCTCTTCTTCTTTTTTTGAATAGTTTTTTCCAGTAGTTCCACTCTCACTTGCAGGTTCCGTTTTATAAATATACCCGAGTTGCAGCTTATTTATGAGCTTATTAGTACACAATGAATATGTAACTTCTGATGTAGAACTGTATTAGGTAGTACTCCGTATGTAATACGAGTAATTATCATATCAAAACGAGTAAAATTACAGTCATTTTTATTATTATTAACATATACTCCCTACTTTGTATATGGAGTAGTGTACAATTTTTGCTAATAAATTTCATTAATTTCATCCAATTCAATATATATACTCCCTATTCATTTTGATGTATACCTTGATTATTACTCAAATACTCCATAATATTAGCGGAAGATTAATTTCTTTTTCTCAAGATTAAATGTTGAGAAAAAATTGCGATAATTCAAAATAGTACATTGAGCATATTGATTAATACTACGTATTCCGAACATATCAAATGAAGTTATTAATGATAATTGTGATGTTATACATATATAGAATATTAAAACGAAAACAATAAGGTTATTTGTGCATAGGAGAAGGAAATAATTTTAATCACATATTTATTACATTTAATGAAAATGAAAATATGTTAACGTGCTGGCTAAAAGGTTAATTTTAATAATCATTTCGTCTCATTTTACTTGACTTACTTTCCTTTGATTATTGTCTCTAAATATGTGTTACATTTCCTTATTTGGAAGAATTAGGTGATCCACAATTAAATTCGAATCTCAACTACAACTTTTATTTTTTCAAACTTTTATTTGGAAAGAATAATTATGTCAAATCAAAATGTGACACATAATTGTTGAAGATAGAGGTAGTATTTAAGAGTGTTATAATGATGTTTTTACTTGGACTGTAATTTGCTGGTCTGGTCTGGTCTGAACTGGTAAGGTCTGATTTCTTTGTATTTTTATAACTATTCTGGTCTGGTCTGAACTGGTCTGGTCTGGACTGGTCTGGGACAAATTGTTTAAGTAGAAGAGTTTTGACATTTTTTTTTTATTCTAGTGAAGTAGAGGAACGATTTTTTAGGGGGATTCTTTCATTGGAATTGATTATTGGGATTAACATACCAAAATATCCGGACAAGAAGATAAACCAACAAAAGTCAAGTCTGTGTTCGGTGGTACAAAACAAAAACAGAGGTAAGAACCGCGATGACGTAAATTGGTTTATCTTCCGCGCAAAGTCCAACACACAAAGGGGAGTCGAAATTTAGACTTGATAAGGGTGAAAAAATAACCATTCCATTCATCCTCGGTATCTAAATTCTAAATAACCGTTTTCATTCACTTACTACCAGTCACATTTCATGTAATTTTGAGCTTAAATTACACCCATCAAGAGGGACGCAGATGATGACATTAATTTGAATTGGATGGCAAGTAAAATAACATTGTGTTTAATTAATTATTACTGGCAGAAGATGGTATGTACCTTGACGGCCTTTTCTGGCTTGACCCTCCCTTCTACAGCTGTTATCCCATAGATGCGCTTCGTACCTTCCTGTCCATCTATGCCTGCAACCATTTTTACTCCTCAACAATCCAATCCCCCATACAATACATATGTACTCATATCATATGCAAATCTTAACTTGGATATATCCATTCATTTATTACTGCGAATGCGACGTAAAGCCATAAAGAGAGAGATCTAGAGAGCAGCTACTACACTACGCACTTCTTTATCATCAAATCAAATCAAATCATCATCATAGCAAAAGAAATAAATAAAAAACGGTACCTTGTAACTCCTCTGTAAATGGATGTTCTCTGCCCGAACGTGTCCGTGATTTTCTTGCAGCCCTCGGAATCCACGGCAACAATGGCGGCGGCGGAGTTATCGGAGCTCAGGGGATTCACCGCCAGAGACAACGCTCCCGTCCCGCACTGTGAGTACCCGCCGTTCACTGACTCGCCGCCGCCGTTCATCACCTGCTGGGACCGCCCAACCGAGGCCGAGTCGTCCACGTCCGACTCCGAGTTCGTCGAGAACGCCTGAAACCCAGCTAGCGTCTTCAGATCTTGCTGCTCGTTGAAGTACGCTTCCGCGCAACCGCCGCCGCCGCCGTGGTCGTAGATGTGTGTCAGCGAAGACGAATCCTGCGTCTCCGTCTGGCTTTCCGAGTAGCGGACCAACGCCGAGTCGCCGCACCCGCCCAGAAAATCCTCCAGCGGCGGTGGGTGGTGGATTTGTGACTCCATGAAGCCATGAAAACCCGACGGCTCTCCGTTCAGACTCAGCCCGGCAACTTCTCTTTCCCTGTTTTCCGGCGAATACATCATTTCAGGTTTCGGGTTCGCCCAACCTGCATATCATGCATCCAACCAGCAAGTTCAGCTAGCGGTGTTTCAAATCTAGTTATTTATCTAACCCCAAAAAAAGCTGGACAGATTAACTACTTTGGGCTAAACAAACCGACGAAGGTTATTTCAAAAGTGGAGCAGAACTAATTAAGACCGAAACCAGACTAGCAAGGCATTTTTTGTTGCCACGCTTTCCCAGGCTTACTTACCAACAAAACAGAAAACGTTATTTTGGGGGCTCTGAGAAGAAGAAAAGGTTTTGACTAAGACTTAACACCCATTATATTTATTCCAACCGGGAGAGAGATGAGAAGCTTAATTACCGTTGGTGTAGAACTGCTCTGCAAAGTAATAATGGTGAGAATCGGAAGGAGCGAAGGTGGCAGCAGGCGGCGGCTGCGAAGACGACGAGTTCATCATCTCCGCCGATGAAACAGCGAACGACAACCAGTTGTTTTCTGGCGCCATGGCCTTGTTCAATTCGAAGCTAGCAGCGACTCACAGTCAGAAAGAAGACAACAATCCGGAGGAAAAAAAAGTTAAGCCATCATCATCATCTGATCTCGAAATGGGAGGGGGAGACCATGCAAATTCTACTTTTAGCAAGCAAAGATTGAATCTTTTCCTTGTTTCCCAAAAGAAAGAAAAACGGAGAAACGAAACGACAAAGCTTTTCTTTCCCAAGAAGAGAATGGGGGTGGCTTAAATAAAGCAATTTGAATTGAAGATTTGAAAGGGAAGGGAAGGGAAGGGATTGGATCAGGTGTGAACAGATGCCGGTGGAGAAAAGGGAGCAAGTGGAGGATTATAAGGGGAGAGAAGAGCGGTGTTCCTCTGCCATCCGGCGTTATGCCACAGGGGCTTTTCCACGGCATCAATTGTTTCTTTGACGTCACATGCTATCTATCTAGCCTCTTTCTTAAACCTTACAACTTTGCTAACTTTTCTTTTTTTTGGATGTCTCATTAATTTTGCCACTTTCCTTTTTAAATAAAGAACTTGTGGATCCAGTTATTTCTCTCTCCTTTGCACAAACCTCAACCACACGGTTTTTATTTTAGTAATCCCTGTGCCGGTCAAACTTGGCAAAGTTTTAAGGAACGGATGGAGTATGATTTTTTCCATTCTCTTCTTACTTTTTCACTCTTTACAAATATAATATGGACTAATAAATTTCACAAATATAATCCTTACTAGTTAAGTACTCCATATTTCACAATAATAATTCGAGTGCTAACAGTATTAAGTGATATTTTTTCCATTTTTAATTTTTTTTTAAATATATCAAAGAAAAACACGTTTAAAAATTAATAATAACATATTTGAATTTCATCTTTTTCTATGAAAGGGTTGGGTTGGGGAGTAGAACTGGCAATCAGGGGCGGAGGTGGAGGGGTGGCCAGCCGGGTCACGGCTCAGGACAAATTTTTAAATTGCTTATATTTTTAGTGTAAAATTTTTTGTGTAAAAGTTTATCTGTAAAAGTTCTTCGTACCAGCTCAGTCCAACTCTTACTCCTGACTACGCCCCTGCTGACAATATCACCCGCACCTGCGGATACTCGATCAACCCGCATATGTAACCGCGGCATCCGTATATGCATCCTCCATGGCCACTCCCTCCGTATTGTCCGCCTCCTCCGTAATGGCCACCGCCTCCTCTGTATTGTCTGCCTCCTCCGTATTGTCCCCCGCCGCCGTATGGCCCGCCTCCTCCTCCTCCGTAATGCTCCCTGCCTCCATATGGCCCACCGCCTCCGTAGCCATCTACATGTTTGTGATCCTCAGCCACCTCATTCGCTTTCTCAACTACATTTTTAGTTGTAGTCTCCGCGAGGTCCCTAGCGCAGACCTCGGAAGCGATGAGGAGAAAAAGGGCCAAAGAAAGGCCTATCATAATAAATGCCTTTGAAGTCATCTTTTTAAGCTTATTAGTTGTGTGGAAAGATGGATGTTTTTCTTTCTTTCTTCTTTCTTTTCGTCATACTTAATTTCATACCAACGTGTCATTATCCTTTCTTTATATGTATATCATGTTCTCTTCCTCAGATCCCTTTCGCAAGAGGGAGGACTTCAGGGACTTGTTGCAAGTGTCGGAGACTCTAACAACCATCGTCAAGGAGAGCCGCCGTTGCTAGAATTCAATCGCATCACCGCCACCCCCCGGCCCCAAAGCCGTTTATAGTTAAACCGACCAGATCACATCACATTTCGACGGTTGTAAAATGCACATACATTGTACATATATTAGACCAGACCAATTCAGACTTGACCAGACTTAACAGATCATACCAGATCAGATGAGATGAGAACAAAACAGAAAATTTCAATCCAATTAAAAACATCAAAAGTCCGATTGCAACTCAGGGATGAAAAGTCATTTTTAATGTTATTACACCAACCGTGCTACAATAAACCCAAAAAAGTTATGGGGAAGTGTACAAGTGGAGTATGACATCCATGGTGAGAGTGTTTTGACTAGGGGTGGTTCAGTACCGTATACCGAATATTTTAGCTCATACCTTTACCATACCGTAAATATTCGGTATGAAAAAATACATACCGTTACCATATTGAAATTTCGGTATACCGAAATTTCGGTACGGTAAGGTACGGTATCGGTAAATTATCATGATTTAACATAACAAATTATTATATATCAAATAAAATATAGAAAATATGTGTTAATAATGATATACTAAAATCATTAATGAAATTAATTGTAAATTACCAATGATAACCTATTGGTGTTCCATTCAACTTTGAACAAAAAATATTATAAATATATTTAGATATTTCGACACATAATATATGAAGATAACATCACATTCTGCTAAAATAATTTAAACAACATAAATATAATTAAAAACACCGTCTGCCAACAAAAAGTATAAATAATTCAAGAAACATGGATATAAAGTCATTTATCCTTGAATTAATGTTGTGTTTCTAGTTATTTTTATAATTTTAAAGAAATTATTGGCTTGGAATTACGGTATGACGGTATACCGGTATAACGTTTATTTTCAAAATATATACCGATACCATACCGAAGTAATTCAGTACGATATCATACCGTACCAAAAGTGTCGGTATACCAACCATTTCGGTAAATTCGGTATTTTTCGATATGGTAAGTCCGGTATACCAAAATTTCGGTATTTTTCCCCACCCCTAGTTTTGACACCCCTTCTCCTGCAGGGACGCCAATAAGAAAGGAGAAGGGTATGAAAAAGGGTTAATTTTTTGTGTGCACCAAATTTGTACACAAACATTTTTGTATAAAATTCTGCCCCTTTTCAAACGAATTGATTGTGTACACAAGTATCTTGTTTTCTTTAAAATGTTATAAATTTTTATTTGTCTTCCAATGTTTCTAAAAAGTATATCAAAATTCATAATATAACTTTACATCAATATTTGTTTAAAAAATATGAAATTTAAACCATGGAGGTTGTCCGGCCCAAATATTTTCTTAAATTATCTAAGCACTAAAGTTATAATCTCATGTTTTTACATCATTAAGTACTTATTTATATTTATATTGAAATATTTGACTTTTTAAATCATCATTAATCGAGAAAAATAACAAAAGTTTATATATATATATATATATATATATGTATATATTATATATATATATATATATATATATATATATATATTAATAAACATATGGATTTCACTAGAAAACATTGTGCTTGTGAGTATTTTGACAATGTTGGATCGTAAATAAAAACACAATTGATTTGAAATCGTCTAAAAAGGAAAGTGGGATAATTATTTTGAAAGAGATAGAGTATGTGTGTCAGTATTGGATCTAACAAAAGGAGCTCTTGTTGTGATAAATAAGTATGATTCTAGTGCATTGACTTTGAGATACTATTGCTCTTAGCATCTTCATTCATGCTCCTCAGTTTTATGGGTTTTATGACTTTTTATTGAGATAAATAAGTATGATTCTAGTACATATACAATATATATGTATATACAGATGTATGTATATACACACAAACACACACATTTGGTTTCAGTTTTTTAGCAGTTCGATTTTATTTGGTTGCGATTCAGTTTATTTTGATTCGGTTTTCAGAGTTGGGTTTTTCAAACCCAGCCTAACACACATGCTCAAACTTTTTTAATACTCACTCAATCACGTCACTACTATAATTTACACACACACACTAACGTTAAAAAACAATTTATTAATATTAAATTTCAAAAAAAAAATTAAATGAATTTTGAAATTACAATTTCAAAATTTAAATTTAAATTGCAACGGGTACTTTGTAATATATTTGTAAGATTCTATGAGTTTAAAAAATTATAATCTTAAGAATTTTAAACTTAAATTTCACAAGTATATTTTACATGAATTTTAAAGTTATATTTGAAGATTTAAATTGTAACCAGGTTTTAATGTACAATGGTTAATTTTTTAGTTCCCCCATCCTTGCTTGTGACTTTTAGTCTTTCGTATTCTGCTTTTAAATTTAAAAGTAAAATTAGTGACAATTTGGAGAGGAATGTAGAAGTTCAAGAATAATCTTAAACAATTCAGAAAATTTGATCTCAGATTTTTTTCTCAAATAATCTCTTAAAATAATCTCAAGTTCTCAATCATAATTTCCAAAAATATCATCTACATAATCAAAATGATCCTCTAAAAACTCATGGATGCGAATGCCCTTAAAGTGTGAGCAATGCAGCATATTGTGTTATAGATATGTGACAATTCCGTAAATAAGAGAACATTTTTCTTATTGTGAAAAATGCAATATTTGAATCAATCTAAAAGTGCACAGTAACAAAATAAAAATGTAGATTTTACATTTCTCATGTTAAACACTCTTTTTGTTTGAGCTGCGCTATATATATAGGGAACGACTCAAAACGATGCACATTCTTGTATATAGCGTTGCAATTTTATAATTAAGACACTACTAGAAAAATGACCTACAGTGACACCAAATTAGTGTCACTGAAAGTTTCTGTGACACTAAAAAAGTGTCAATGAAAGTGGATTCTAGTGACACTTAAAAAGTGTCACTAAAAGTGTCACTAAATTATGACACTATATTATCACGATATTATGACACTATAATATCACAAAACTCTATGACACTTTGGTATCACAAAATTCAATGACACTACGATATCACAAAATTCATTGACACTACGGTATCACAAAACTCAATGACACGCTAATACTATGAAATCATATACATGATACATTGATTACAATCATAATTTAATACTAATGAATAACCAAAAGTTCAAATAATTTTATTTATATCTCAAATTCTCACATAAATGTGAATTTACATTCTACATAATTCATAGGGACATATCCCGAAACAATAAGTAAAAAACAAGAACAAAACGCCAACAAATCCAACTTTTACCCCATTCTTCATAGGGCCTTCACATTTCTTCTTATGCATAGACATCATATCGTTTGCTGCACAGAATGAAGCCATCCTTCTATTACTATGTTTGCACTCAGACTTATATTACTGGACACAAGGCACATAGCTTCGATTTGGTGCTAATACTCTATTGAAGCTGCTATTTTTGGGCTTGAGCTGCTCAACAAAAACTCTTAGACAGGAAACAGTATCACTCACTAATCAGATCTGCAAGCGCTAAATAAGATATAGAGCAAAGCATAGAGGAATGTAGAAATAATGTATGAAATAAATATGATTGTAGTTGATGAGCTCTTAACCTGCATAGAGGAAGTCATATAAGTTGCACCAATGGTCACGTAACCGTTGCAAGGGATAAATTGCGAGCTGAAACTGATGTAGAAAAAATGTTAAAAAATAAAATATTGAACCCAAAAGAAAAATGATAGACAATAATATAAAA